TGCTGGGAACAGCCCAGCCATTTATAAAGCTGTTCTTGCCTCTCTAGGTGGCTTCTGGGTCTGCTTGGGGAGGAGGTTCTGATAGATAATTCTGACCTCAGACAGCATTCCCCCGCCTCAAGGGGATCATGATTTAGTATTCAAGATGGATAACTGAATGCATAATTACAGTGTGTGTGAGGGACGCTATATTATGAGTGTGACCCAGGTACTGTAAAGAAGAGAGAATGGTCAGACAGGCCCTTCCATGTGTGTTGCACTAATTAGTGAAGACCTCATTCTTCTGCAACAGATCACGTCATTGTTATCTCTGATAATAGGAGGATGTTGCTCTCAAATATAAGCTACAATTGTCTATGCTACAATTGTCTTGTTTGCGTGCTTACAAACTGCAGTTTGCCCATCAGAGCATACTATGTTATGATTTAATTTTGTCATTAACTATGATCTGAAAACTTTGAGAGCCATCATCTCGAAACATCTGTACTTAACATCTCCAAACGTAGGGTTCTAGCCTGTCCTCAGCATCATAGCGTGCCCAGAAAAGCCAAGAGAAGATCTCGTGCCGTGATACACACCGGTGGTTTCCATGGCCATCAATACAGGAAGACTCCAGCATCTTAGCAGTAGCTTAAACAATTCAAGGGAGATTCGAAACACAAGCAGATTTGTTTAACAGTGCTGCTAGCATGGCTTTATAAAGAAGGAGCATGATGCCCAAAGAGGGGATGTGTTTTCTCTCATTTTCTGGAGCTAAGAGGTTAAGCAACTGCCAAGAGATAGGTATGTTTTCCACCTTCTCAATGAGTTTATGTAGGAAGTGAGACTGATATTAGCAAGCACGTAGTGAGCAAGAGACTTCTTTTGAGGTAGTTTTTGAAGATCTGAACATTATACTGTGCATTGTCCCCTAAAGCCAGGGCAAGTGTACCAGCATTTGAGTGGAAACATCAATAAAGAAATAATAAAACATTATTAAATGAGAAACTTCTGGAAAAGTGCATTTAACAAAAAGATAAGAAGGGAAATCTCAGCAGCAGCAATCTGAGAAAATGTCATCAGAGACTTTAGCTGTAACCCAGAGTTCCCCACAGTAAATACGTACTTCACTCAGTGACAGTGACACATCTTTTGTCAACCTTTCTAAATGCTCCTTCAAAATGGGTTAATGTTTTCTTGCTTTGTGCTGAATTGCATAGAAATAAATGCCCCAGGGTGATTTTAATTGTCTCTTTATTTCTTTTGTTCTCATATTCCCTGTACAGTTGAAAATTATACTACTGTGGATTTACAGAATTTGCTAATTAGTAAGAAGCCTGACATTTACTAATACAAAACTATGAATAAACCTACTAATTTAAAAATTATGTCACCATCAGAATGTTCCCATGGAAGCTGGAAGCCTAGAGAAAATGTGGTCTTTAGATATTTATTAACAAGGTGATTAGTCAGAGGATTATTAAAGGACATGTTAGTTCAATGCTACAAGTTTATTATTCACGTTCCTAATTCAAAGAGCTGAGATCCTGAGATACATGTGTTAATACATCCATAGCCCGTAGTGGATGGGACCATTTCTGGGCTGCCATGAAAGTTTTCCCTGGATCACTAAAGCATAAAACTGGAATGAAAAATTGGTTTTGCATGTCATGCAGCAACTCTGTTTGATTAATAATGACTATGTTAAGGCGTCTGTAAAGATGCAGGAGAACATGTGATAATTAGTGATGACTGTCATTGGTACAGCAGGAGGAAGCCACAGCATGAGTGCCAGGCATGGTCCCTTCCCAATATTAGTGAAACCAGCAGTGAGCTTACTCAGCAACTTTTATTCTTTTCATCAGGGATCAGAGCTCTTGAGAATTTGTTGAGTAGGGGGAAATGTTCTTCCTGGACATTGCAGCAGGAAGAGTAAATAGTGCCTTCCTAGAACTCTTTAGAATATGCTGAGTGAAACTTTGACCTGGAGATTCCCCGACTATGAGACTGTTTCATGTGGCCATGTGCATGTCTTAGACAGGGAAGCAGGTCAGGAAGATCACAGGAGCCTGAGTGGTTCAGAGTTTGTTTCCCATTAGAGAAAAGAGCTACAGCAGAGTTAGAGTGCACAACTCAGTCTTGTCAGCAATGAATCCACGTGTGGTTTCTAACAGCATGCACCATGGCGCACAAAGGCAAGAGCTATAAACATAGGAATTAGATTGTGGCAACAAAGCCTCTGTCCTGGCAGGACTCTTGGAATAGGGATCATCTAAACAAAATCACCTGAAGCTGCATTAAAACTTTTCAAGAGCAATTTTTTAAAAATTCTACTTGTTGCTTTTTTGAAAAGCAATGGCCCTTCCTCACATTTATCATTAAACCAAGGTTCAAATGTGTAGGTTACTAATAGCTGGCATTTGCAATATTACTGTAAAAGCAAGAGATTTTAAGACTACAGAACTCAGATATGCCACTCTGGAAGAACACTCATTGTCTTTTTTCTAGGACTCAAAATCCATTCAACAATACATATGCACTTAATGATTGCCTGTCAGCCTTTTGGTTATTGTGTTGTGCTTCTCAGCTCACTTAGCAATGAAAGTTGCCATAAATTACCCTGAGCAATGGCACATGCTCGGAGTAGAGTTGCCCCTAACTTCAGATGCTTCTCATGTCATGCGTGAACCAAGGGAGCAGATGGGATAGAGCCACGTAGAGTCAAAGGGAGCTTGATTCTGCCCTTGGCATGTCCATTTGGTCCTCAGAGATCCAGCATGGCTGCCCTGTTGGCTCTTTATCATCTCTCTCCACCCACGGAAAACCAGGCAGAGAGACTGGACAGCAGCATTGTGCACTTGAAAATTAACACCTTTCCTAACATCGCATCTTTTTCTGTGTTCCTCCTGTCAGCTCAAGTTGTCTCAAACACCTAAATGGAGACATTTGATGATACAATGTGGGCAGAAAATCTTTCTGAGCATTGCCGGAGGTAGAGAGGAGGCCTGTGTTAGATGCCCTGGGTACAAATCTTAGTTCCACCCTTTATGTGCTGTGTGTGGATTTGGGCAAGTGACTTACACTCTCAGTGCTTTCTTTTTCTGTAAAATCAGGAGAATGAAAATACCTCACAAGGCTAGTCAGGGAATTAAGTGAGATATTTACATAAAGCAGTTAGCATAATGCCTGGTTTATAATAAGGGCTATGGGACTATCAGCTCATATTATTAGTATAATTAACAAATGACAACTTTTAAACAAGTTACTGCATAAGTTTTCTAAGTGTCTCTACATGATGGGTGTCAATGAGAGGTGTTGTTGCTGGCATCATATGTAGTGTTTGATGACTGTACATGTGTGCTAAACTCTGACCCTCAAGTACTGTTTTCAGAAATGGCTTCTCAGCTTATAAAGCTGTGAAAAGAACATTCTTAATTCCTGTGGATGGTCATTCCGAGACAGTGTTCTACATGGTGTTCATTGGGAATATGAGGAAGCAGCTACGTAGGACACAGGTAGAGTTTCACATCTGGGTGAGGCCACTGCTTTTCACCTCTGATGCCATCTTGATTCCCTAAAACCCACCCCTAGCCCTAATTTATCTACCCTTTCTCTGAGAAGTGCTTGACAGTCAATTTGATTTACTGAGAAGAGCTTTGAGGAAGTCATTTGACTTCCATGGATTTTGTTTTCTCCATATCTGCTGTAGAGGCTGTTGGGGTTTAAATGAGCTAATGTAGGTCAAGTGCCTAACGTAGGCCCTGGCACGTAGTATTCCATCAGTGCTCATTTGCTGTCATTGGTGCAAGGCTCTTGCTGCTGTAAAAGGATGTGAAGTCCAGAGACAGGTGGATTTTGAGTCAGTTTCATCTCCCCTCATTACCTATAAAGATATTCTTGTCGTAGATTCAGAGAGGACGAGCTCATTCTTCATCCTTTATCTTTCTAGCTCATATGGATCTGGGCCTGTCTTTCCTAGGTGCTAGGAAGATTACAGATGTTAATATTTATACAGCACCTCTTGTGTTTGAGGTAACATGCTGGATACCGTGGGAGATGCCACGGAAAGTTTGTATACAGACAAATCACCCAGGTGATTGTAAGAGCTTCATTTTTCTTTCGAGGTCAGAAGGAGATCAAAAGTAGCAATAAGAAAATGACCAATTAGTCTTCTCGTTGAGAACTCTCAGCTCTATACAAGTGAAGCCCTTATACAAGTGAAGAAGACAAGGAAGAATGAAACAGTACAGTTTTATTATATGGGAGGTAATAGCCAGTATGTAAATGTGTATGACCACACAGGAAAGCTGTTCTGAGTCAGTGTGAATCATAATACCAAAGTGAATGTATAATGGCCACCCTGCAAACTCCAGCTCTCCTGCAGATGCTTGCTTGTAGATAGTAACATCCCACCTGGTCTGAACAATGGAGCCACGTGATGGGATTCAGGTGTGAGCCTCAGTCTGCATGCTCATTAGTGTTGGATGATGCTCCCTAGTAAGCAGCTGGAGCCTCATTACTGTTCATAAGAGTAAGCTAATAATTAAGAATTCTGAATTTCTAGATAGTGACAAATAGAATGAAGAGGTAATGAGATGGGTAGGAATGGAGATTCCCTGACGAGGGCCTATCATGGTGAAAGAATGAGGAAATGAAAAAAATTCCACTGTCGCTCCAAGAGATACTGAGAAATACCAATTTGTGGCCCAGAGAAATGAGAAGGCATTTATCAGGCAATGAAAGGAAAAACTGCCCTGGAGAGACCCCTGGATAATACTGTGCTGCAAAATTCATGATGGGGGAAGAAGGGTCAAGACTTGGACTGACTTCAAATTTGTTTTATTTAATATTTTATAGTAGTGAAATGTGCAGAAGCAGTTGTAGGGTAGGGGGACACTGTTCTGAGATCCCTTGAGTGACAACTTCTCGATTAGTTGGTGTTGCAATAAGGTCTGATTATATTAGTGAGGACATGATATAGAGGCTATAGTTTGACTTTTTTCATGATTTTATTTGACCAGAATCTTCTGAGGACCTAGAAGAAGCCAGTGCATGGGTGAGTCTGGGATGGCCTTGGGTTCAAGGCCTTGAATTTAGATCTTATTTTCAAGTGGGTTTTCCATATGCTGTTGAACAGAATTGATGGGACATCTTTGTCATACAGTTCTAAACCTGTACCCTTGCTAGGTCATATCACCTGTAGCAGATTAAGTAATTTAAGTAATAGATTTTATCATCATGTAATTATCTTCTCAATAGTAGTTAGAAATTGCTGAATATAGTAGAACACTTAAAATAGAAGGACGTCCATCTATAGATTGAGTGACATGCAGCTGTAATTGACACTGTAATTAGCCTTACTATTCTGTTTTAGCAAAAATCTGGCATTGCTTTGTCACAAAAATCCAGGCATTTCACATTAGTCAAAAAAAGGTGGAATCATTTTTCTTATATGTGGAGATAGTAATCATTGTCTTGTATTCATTTGTGTTGGGAGTTTTAATTTGTTCAACGTTATTGTTTAAAATATGACCTAATATGGGTAATTTTGCTTTGGCATTTAATTTTTTTTTAACATGCCAGAAGCCTTAGAGAAGAAATATAAGTAAAAGATCTCTGGTGTCTCAATCTCTGAGAGACCTGTGCAATGAGAAAGAGATGCT